TGACCTCCTTTAGGAACTCCCCCTGCCACAGGCAAGATGAGAAAGCACAGCTTGGAGGAAGCAATCTGCCTTGGGTAAGAACTTAAACCACAACCTCTTCCCCAAACACTCCACACTGAGGTCAGATCACCAAGTCAAAGCAGAAAACTCACTGTCAGTAAAGCTCAATTCCTGCAGACCCACCTGCTCCTCCAGCCCTTGTCCCATCCATGCCTCACACCTCCCAGAGTGTGACAGCCCAGCTCAATTCCAGCTGGAGCAGGACATTTCTACAAGAGAGGGCCACTGGAGACACCAGCTCACAGGAGACATCCTCAAGCCTATCCCATGACTGGCACTAGCACAACAGAACAGCACTGCAACCTAAGTACCACAGCACGAGATGGAAAGCCAAGGACCACCTTGGCATGGCTCTGCCCTTCCCAGATGCACCAGCTCACCCAGGCCTGGGGCAAGGCCTCCATCATACCCCCCATCCTAAGGTGAAAGCTGCAGAAACAGCTCCTATATCAACAGTTAAACTGACCCAGAGCTCAGGTCCGAGGAACAGCCACAACGACAAACAGATCCTGATAAAGAAGGCAAGGAAAGAGATCTGCTGCCAGGCTGGGAGCAGGGGAGGGAGCCTCTGGACTGACACACCTCTGGTAGTGCAGGCAGACACCAGTCAGTGCTGACAGATCTCACCAAATGCTCCTCCTGGTGTGTGACACCCCCTTGAGTCAAGAGAGCTGCTCTGGTACCTGCTTGGGCATGGTGGTGGTGTCACACTAAGCAAGAGCACAACCTGAATCTGCTGTGCTGTGTCTTGTATGGAGCAGGAGAATCCATGCTGGAGTCAACTCAGCTACCATACTGTCCCACAGTTATCCCAGCACAATTCCACCTCCACCACCGCCAGCAGAACAATCCACTCACAGCTGAGTGCTGCAGGAGCTCTGCCTAAGTCAGGAGGGAAATACAGCTCACTCAGGCATCATGAGAGAATGCCAGCAGCATGGTTTCCCAGGACTTAGTCCAAAAGAAACTGGGAACAAGGCAAAGCTGCACAGGACATAGCTGTCACTGACCCCAGTCATCCCCTGACTGCCCCCCAGCAGCAGAGCTGCCGCAGCTCTGCCCACAGTGGTGCTAATTCACAGCCAGGTGGGCTCCCAGACCACTTCTGGAAAGGCCCACCATCCTCACAGTGGAACAGGCTAAGACTACCTTATTCCCCAGAAGCATCAGGTTATCCAAGCACATCTCAGCCTTGCCAAGCTGCCCAGTTCCAGAGCAGCACCATCCCAGCACATCCCAGAACAAGGTGTTGAGAAGTGCAGCCTCCTGCTCCTGTTCCACAAGGCTGGGAAACAACAGCAGCTTGAACCTAATTCCAAGGCTGGGCTTTTTCATCAGGACCAGCAAGACTCCAGACAGACTGCAAGAGAACCCATCTGCAAATGATGCTGGGCAAATCTTTTCTGTCTAAGCAACAGGTGAGCTTGTTGACCCTCAAGCAGGCCTATGTTCCATTTTCCAGGAACTCAAGCAGAACAATGTCTCTCTTTGCAGGAGACAGGCCTCTCTCCTTCATGGTCACTTCTTTATTTCTCTCACTTTCTGTTTCATCCATATAGCAGATGGAAGTCTCAACATGGCAGAATCCATAACCAGGCAGGAACTGCAACACTTTGCTTTCCTCCCAAGGCTCTGGAGACACCAAGACGTCCCATTCTCTTCCCATTTCTCCCTCCTCCAGCTCTGAAACATTTCTTCCAGTTACAACCAGAATAAGTTACTTGTTCAGACTTCGTTTCTGCATTTGCCCTATTTGACCCACCTTCCAGAGCACAAAATTTGGAAAAATGTTCCTCCCCACACCAGCCTCAGCTGTGTCTGCAATCAGTGCCTTCAGTGACACCTCAATCTTCGTCTCCTCTCTTCCTGTTTCAGTAAAATAACCAACAAGGGCTGCTGGTCCAAACAGAGCAAGCTCAGGACAGAGGAGATGTCTCCAAAGAGCACATTCCTGAAAGTTTTCCCATTGTTAGGGAGCTCCACACCCTGCACTCTCACCTGGGGTCTGGAAGCCTATCTGGCCATGGAGGTGTCAGTACCATTTGCAAGCAGAGATGTTTGCAGAAGAAAGCATTTGTAAGATATGGAGAAGTTTCCAAACATGATTCCAATGTAACATCTCAGGTCCTCTCCCAGCAAAGAGACTGCTTGTTTTGCTGATACTCGATTTTGCCAAGAGTTTACAGCTTAGATTAGCAGAAAACCCTGCCCATAGCCTAGCTAACTATTCAGAACTGCAGAGACCAAAGGAACAAAGAGGGATTGTCAGTTTAGCACTGACACTGAAAAACTGCATGAAGCAACAGCAGAAAAGCCCCGAGAGAGAGAGAGGAGAAAGGAAAATACAGTGGCTAATGCTGCTTCTACTTGGGCTGCTGCAGCTCCACAGAGAAATACACAGCTGCAGGTTCTGGGGGGCCCAGTGTTTTCCCAAATCTGCTCTACAAAACTGAACTGTGTACTGAAAGCAAAATGAATCCCTCAGTAGGGGAGAAGCAGAGAGGTCCAATCAAAGTCTGAGCACTCCGAGCTCTCAGAGATGCATAACAAAGTTAAACTTCTGACAAGGCTACAACTGGCCCATCAGGAGCCTTTTATTCCCATCCTCTTCTGGCCACAGAGGTTAATTGCCTGCAGTGCTGAACTGGCCCCTCTGCTCCTTGTGCAGAGCCCAGCTCCCCCCTCCACCTCACCAAATCAGAAACACCAACTCAGCCACCCTGTACAGGATCACACAGTTTGCAACTCAACTTTGGAGAGCTGGAAGGAGATAACTTCTGGTTTAGGAAGCAAGACACAGATAAGAGCTGCTTCTAGTCCCTGCCAGCAGAGTCAGGGCTTTGAGGTGGGGTCGGGGAGTTAAATTTTTTTTTTCATTGTTTTGAACTGACAGATTCTTTCCATAGAGATCAGTGAGAAAGCCAGATTTCCTTAGCAGGGCTGGGAAAATAACACAGGGCATTCCCACTAGGATGTTACCTCCAGGTCTGAGAGGCAGACCTACCCCTGCTGGCCTCTAGCTGATCAGCTTCTGGGAAAGGTGAGGTTTTAATCTTTCCCCTGGGTGCTCTGACCAAGCACTGCCCCTTTCCTCATCAATCCCATAAAGGCACTTCCTCACCCTCCTGCTCACCTGACTTTTGTTAACACCCTGCAGACTCCACTGAGATTTTACCACACGAGCTGGATCAGAGCAGAGGTGCCCCAACCACCACATGCCAAGGGAATGTCTAACTCCAGCTTCCTCCATTTCCCGTCCTTTGATCCCCTGCAGGAACAGCCAGCACACGAAACTGGGACACTGCTGCTGGGTCACTAATGGAGCACATGAGTAAGGGAAGGTGGGGACGCCAGCAAGGCCCTGGCCCTCCACATCACCTCCACCCTGCTGAAGGCTTTGCCCCCTAACCCACCCCAGAACAGGTCTTCCTACTCCACAGGAAGAGGAAGTGACTCTTCCAAAGGCCGGAAAAGCCTGTTCCACTGCCTCACACCTCCTGTGCCAGGGAGCCTGAGCCTGCTGGAGGCTGAGGCTGCAGCACTTCTTCTCTTCACTGCACCCAAACCAGGATAATTTTGGCTAGGCCTCCCTGGAAGACACTGAACCAGCATCACCTTGCTCAGAAAAAACTTGCTGGCACCAGCACTGCCTTCCTCAGGAGCTGGGTTGGCAGCTGGCACAGATTAAATTAAGGGACAGCAGCATCACCACATCCAGGACATGTGCTGGATCCAGGGGGCAGAGCTAAACTCCCTACACAGATCTGACTGTGCCTGCGGCACCTCTGCTGCACAGCAGAGCTGTTCCAGGGATCACTGGAAGAGAGAAGACAGGGAAGACACCTGGGTTGTGGCCCCAGGAAGCTGATACCACAAGAGACACCTGCCCTTCAGCCTCCCAGGAGCTCTACAACAACTGCTGGGACCTTCTCTGCAGCGGTCATCTATCCCAAACAACACGAGAGCTGACACTGAACTGGGCATAGCTCGAACCAGGGAGAGACAAAACTCCAACTCTCCATGTCCAAAACCCACTCAGGCTCCCTAAGTGCTCTTGTACAAAGCTATGTCACAAGCTCCAACAGATGCCTGGAGCTTCCCAAGCCCTTTCAGCTTCCTGGGACCCCTGTGAGCACAACCCGTGCTGCCACGCCATGCACAGGCTCAGCCCAGCGATCAGCTGGGGCAGCCAAAGTCCACTGTGCCACAGGGAAGGGCAGCCCGGGCTCTCCACTCCCTTCTCCCACCCACCATCCCTGCACAGCTGCATCATGAAACAGAGTAAAATATATTCAGGGAGACCTGTGACTCGGGGTCCCCTTCGACCTGGGTTAGTTTTCAGCTGAACGACTCCACGGGCTGACTCTACACACAGAGCAAGCACCAGCACTAAGGACATGGCAAGACAGCAGCTCGGCCTCTGCCAGCTGGCCCCAGGCTTTTGGGAGGGCCATAGAACGGTGCCAGTGCTGCCCCAGCTACAGCAACATCTGCTCAGGTGAGCCTGTGGAAACTGGAGCCACAAGGGTGGCTAAGGAGTGACCCTTCATTTTTATTTTACTAGGCTGTCTGCCGAGACACACTTTCTTTGCTATTTTACAGCCCCAGAACCTCGAAGTCTTGCAATTCCTCAGGCCCAAGAGGGTTCCCAAAGGATGGAACCAGCCACTACCAAGCTGCCCTCTCAAACAAGCACCTCTGGCATAGGGCAGGCTGCAGGAACAGATATTCTGGGGGAACAAAAAAATTAAAAGTGTAAGAATTAAAGAGGGATTAGAGACTTTAAATTTCCCACTGTCCAAACTTTGGAAGAGCTTACTTTCAGGGAAAGGGAACTGAGCACCTTCGCTGGGAGGGGAAGGGGTGAGAAAGATCAAACAACTGTCAGTAAGGAAAGCACTGAATAAGTGCTGCCTCAGCCCCTGCCTCCCTGCCCTTACCCCGCCGCCTTCCCGGCCCAGCCGGTCCCTTGGGAGCGGCCCAAGGCTGCACGGGGCACAGAGGAGCGTCTCCACCGGCTGGAATCCGCCTTTCGCGGGTGCCAGCTGGCACGGGGCGGCCGGACGGGCCGGGAGCGGGGCGAGCACGGGGGACACGCACCTGTGCCACCCCCGCCGGGGCCGGGGGGAACCGCACCGCCCGGGGCCGGGAGCAGCTGCGGGGCCGCGCCGGGGCCGGCGGAGCCCGGGGCAGCCGCGGCCCTTTTCCCTTTTCCCGTGCGGGAAGCGCGGTCACGCTTCCACTCTGCGCCCTGCACGGCCCTGCCCTCCCGACCCCGGCCCGCCCTCCCCGCCGCCGGTGCCGGTGCCGGTCGGGCCCCGCCGCTCGGTGCCCGCTCCCCCCGGCGCGCGGCGCTGACGTCGCACGCGGTGCTCGCGCTCCCCCGCGCCGCGCACCATGTGTTGCAATCGCCTCACATGGGGGCCCTTGACGTCACTTCCGGGGGGAGACGGCAGCGGGGCGCCGCGCCATTGGCCACCGCCCCTCCCCGTGCGCGCGCGCGGGGCATTGTGGGGCACGTAGTCCGCAGGCCTCCTGGCGGGGCGGGAGCGCGCGCGCGCGTCTCGCGAGAGCTGCGCAGAAAGACCCGCGCGCGCTTAAAGGGCCCGTGAAGGGCGGCGGGGCCGGGGCGGGGCCGGCACCGAGCGGGGACTGAGGGGACGGGCGGGAACACGGCAGGGGTGCACGGCGCCGGAATACCCCAGGGATGATTGGGAATACACTCCACAGCCTCTCTGCACCGTCTCCTCAGGGCTGGGCACGCCGCCCCCGGGGGAATCGGCCGCTCCTGGGGGCTTTGTGTGACCAGAGCTCGCACTGACCCCCGCCCATCCAAGTCACGAACGGACAAGTTCATCGATGCCCAGTGCCCAACCTCGGGGACACCGCCATGGCCCCCAGCCAGCGCCCAGCCCGTCCCACCCACACTGCCGGGGTATGCCCAAGAGGATTCCATCAGAGGGGTCAGGGGCTCGCTGAAGCCCGGAGAGACAACATCCACTGCTGTCCGCTCATCCATGCAGGGGCTGCTCCAGTGTGGGAGGCAAGCACGCGGGTCAGACACAAGTTCCCTTTAACGAACCCACTGACGATTCCTGAGCACATGCTGGGCCACCTGAACTGCCTTGAGTGCCAGAACAAAAACCATCCTTTCCTCCCCACTAATACTTGAGCTGGCAGGACAGAGCAGCCACCACCGTGGGTTCTGTTCCAGTTCAAGAGACACAGAGTAACAGAGCAGCTACATTCATGCACCTCCCTGCGAGGCCGGGCTGCTGGAAGCACAGTGGGCAAGCGCTGCTCCAGCCTGCAGCCTGTTTTTAAGGCTAAGTCCAAGTCCAAGGTCCCTGACAGGGAAGTCCCACTGCTACTGCAATCACAGGACTTGGGGCACCTAGTGAGAGTAGAACTGACACTCTCAGAAGAGCCCAACCCCAACCTGACACCAGAAACCTTCTTTTTGCCTGTGAATGAAGCATAAGTTCATAAAGTTACAGCTGCATGGCTGCTCCCTCCGCAGCTGTCACAGGCAGTAAAATGCTTGTGTTCTCCATCAAAGGCCAGGAGACCAGGAACTCCATGTTGGACACTTTTCTGCTTTTATTAAAAAAAAAATCCAGAATGGATCCAGTAACAGTTTTATTATCAAGGAAATTGTTTTACCATAAGCAGAGAACAGACACAGGATGGAGCAGAAGGCTTAGACAAGCAAAGTATTGAACTTCCACGCTGACTCCTTGGTAAGAAATAATGTTACAGCTGAGTTTGAAGTAGCCCCTTTCCTTCAGAACAAGGGTACCAGCCTAGCTCAGGGCTAAATGGTCTCCAGCAATGTCCCCAGCCTTGCCCCTGCTGCTCACAGCCCTCCACCTGCTCCCAGCTCCTCAGCCCCACAAGGAGGGGCCATGCAGGCCTTATTCTCCTCCCCATGCCCGGACAGCTTCCATCTCCACCCTCCAATTTCACGACATGGTTTCCAAGTTTGGATCTCGGATTTACTACACCATTGTGTCAAGTATTAAATGATCAGCCAGTCCCCAGGTGCCCAGGGAACACACCAGGGCCAAACTCATAACTTTGTCTGGCATGAATTAACTTTCATCAAGTGACAATTTATCTAGCAGACACATCACTAAATTTATACATTGAAGAATTTTATATATAGAATACTGCAAAAACACAGTAAGTCTGAATTCTGCCCCTTGCTGCTCAGGAAGGTCCCTTCTCTCCCAAGCATCAAGAAAATCGACCTCTTCATCGTTCTCTCATCAAGGAAAGACAGAGACTCCTTATTGCTTCTCCTCCTTCTGATCTCCTGGACTTCCAGAACCCTCTCGCTCCGAGGCCATCTGTGAACAAACAGGTTTATTACTTCTGGTAACAACAAACTGGCCATTTTTCCCTGGCTGGCTGCGCAGGTCAGCCCCAGCCTGGAGAACCCTCCATCCAGTGCAACGAGCAATGTCCACTGAGAAGGGAAATCTTCATCTCTGCCTGAGCTCTGGCAGGGAAATAACAATCTTCCCATTATTCCTTTTCCCAGGGGATATAACAGGCTGACAATGCAGCACTGAAGGTTTGGTTTGACATCAGGAAAGCAGCTGTTCCCAGTAAGGACAGCTCGACACCAAGGTCACCTGGGCACTGTGCCACTGTCATGCTGGGACACCTCCCTGGCCAGGTGCCAGGGGGTGGGAGGGCCTTCCACTGGGAAGGGGATGGAGAAGAAAATCCCAATGGCCTTTACTGTGGCTTTAGGCAGACTGAACAGGAATTGTGTTTTACAACCACCCTGAAGAAAGTTCAGGAGTTACTTGACTCCTTCAGGCACTCCATGCACTGAGGGGAAAGCCCTCTCCTTGCTCTTCTGGATGCTCCTTACTAGGAGCTTCCCCCTTTCCATGGAATGCAGTACAGTAACAGAACACCCAGCCTGGAAGCATGGTCAGGATTTCAGGCCTTCAACTCTCCCCGACATTCCACAGCTGCCCCTTCAGCCAGTGTCACCCAGAGAGAGCTGCACAGAGGCTCAGCACCACCCCCCACCTGAGAGTTCAGCGTCCTGACTCCCCCCATCCCATCTGACAGCTCTGAATGTGAACTGGCCATGCACCTACCTTCTTGTATGCCATTTCAAAGAGTTTCAGGGAAGCCTGCTGCAGGCTGGTTGCTGCCTGCCTGATGTTCTCTCCTGTTTCACTATCTTTACGAGCCAGAAGTTCTCGCATTTTAGCAATTTCTTCCTTTAATTTGTTGCACTGCAAAGAAGATGCAAAGGTGAAATGCTGCACTTGGTTCACTGTTAATCTCCATCCTGTCATTTCACCACCTGCTAGCCCCCTTTTCGTGCCAGAAGCCATGAAGTGAAGCCTCAAAGTAAGTGTACAGGGCCTAGGACTGTGCCCAGCTCCCAGGGGGCACCTGTCCACTTCACCAACAGTGTCCCAGTTGGCATTAATGGGGCCCTATTTGCTGTCTGGGCAGAGGTGCCAAGAACAGAGCTCTGCAGGGCCTGACCACTGGCCAAGGCCTGGCACAGCTCACCTGGCACAGCCATGCCAGGGCAGTGGACAGTAAGCTGGTTTCCATGGCTATTGAAGCCCTGCTAGGGAGTTGGTGAGCAGGGCTGCTCCTGCCCTGGTCAGTCCCTGTGCTGCAAACCAGCAGTGGGCTCAGCCTGGCCCAGAGCCATCTGTCAGTCCCTGCACAGGCTGGCACTGCCTCCTTCCCTGGCAGGCTGCTGGAGAGGGCGCCTGGGCATGGCTGTGCCAGCAGGGCTCACAGGCACAGGCACAGCTCTGCAGCACACCACAGGATGGGGACACGGAGTGATGGCCACCATCAGCACCAGCCAGCACAGGCTGCCCCCACCTCCCCAAGTCACAGGGAACAGTCCCTGCAGGGAACAGGGATTTAGGCTCCATGCTCCTGTGAGAGGAAACCCTCTCACATAATTCCAAACAAAGAGCCAGCCATTATCACAGAATCACAGAATGGTTTGGGTGGCAAGGGATCTTAAAGACCATCTCATTCCACCCCCCTGCCATGGTCACTCACCCAAGTTGTTCCAAGCCCTGTCCAACCTGGCCTTGGATATTGCCAGAGATCCAAAGGCAGCCACAGCTGCTCTGGGCACTTTGTGCCAGGGCCTCCCACCCTCACAGGGAAGGATTCCTTCCCAATATCCCATCCAGCCCTGCCCTCTGGCAGTTTAAAACCATTGCCCCTTGTCCTGTCCCCATCTGCTGGCAGAGAAACAGCCTTTAACTGACCAGAGGCTGCTACCAACAAACTGTAACTGTGCTCCCTCAGACACCTCAGAGCCCCCAGGAGCCCTTTAATTCTGCTTCCCAGAGTTGTTACATTGGTAATTGGGTACACTCTTCTAAACATGACTTTTGAAATTCACAATGCACCACCTTAGAGTGGTGTGAAAAGCACTCTTGGATATTAAATACCCATTTCATTTCTAAGAGAGAAAAACTGGAGTTAAGTGGACACTGATTTTATTGCCCCCAGGTTCCTCGGTGCTGTGCATGCACTGCCAGGAGAACACAGCAGCTGTGCCTCTGTCCCTGTGCTAACAAGGGCGGGCACTGTCCACAGTCTCCAGCCTCAGAGCAAACCCCCCTCTGAGGAGCCAGCCACAGCACAGTCCTTATCACCGCATGCAAGGCCATGCCAAGGACACAGCTCTGTCAGAAACCTCTCATCAGCAGCTTCCCAGGCGCTCAGAGCCTCAGTGACACCGACTTGGCACTTTGCAATAGGTTATTTGCCAGCACCCAAACCCTGTTCCCCCTAAGGATGCCTGTCCATTCTCCCCTCAGCCACACTCACCCCTCCCAACGAGTGTTACAGCCAGAGGTGCAGGGCTGTGCCACCTACACTCACCACAGACACACAGCCAGAGCCGGAGCCACTGGCCAGAGCCAGCTGGGAGTTGAGTAGGAATG